CTGCATCAACAATATTGGCAAAATGAAATTATTGACAATGAAAATGGTGGGACTGTTGTTCCCTTATCATATAATTGGTACATTTACTATCAATACAGCATTAAACATAGTTTTTCAGATTGCATTTTGGCAACAAAAAAAATCGCAATGCGAATATTGGATCGCAACTGAGACAACCTATTTCAAGGTACCGTAGCATGAGCTAGTGTATCTTTCATAATGGGACGTGGAAAATCTAGGCCTGTGCTATAAATCCTTATTAACTAGGCTCTGTTTTTGCTCAAGTGTTGGCCTTAGTAAGACAGAGGGCTAGATGCCAGGACAGAGTAGGGATAGGGTTACTCTCCCTGTCTGTCTCCATTTAAAGGGCCTGAGCCCTCTCTCTAACCTGAAGGACATGTTTTGGTCTGGACTCTGTCTGTTCAAGCATGTAGAGATTACGCTGCTGTTGTGTTGACATGGTGAGATGAGTTATAGGTGTGTCTATGTTGTGACTAACGTTTCCTGCTTTCTTATTTAGTGTGTACATAGTAGCATACAGGTCAACAACACATTTGTGGGAATCCTGGACTAGAATGTCACCGTCTGCCAACCACGTGACTGACTCACCAGTCAGTAAGTTTATGCCTAATGAAGTAGAAAATACTATCTCTTGAGGGAAATGTATGGCTAACCTTACAGAAGGTTAGGGCGGTAGGTAGCCTAGCAGTTAGATAGTTGGGCCATTAACCGAAAGATCGTTGGGTCGAATACCCGAGCCGACAAGGTAAAAAATCAGTATGTGTCCTTGAGCAAGGCACTTCACCCTAATTTGCTCCAGGGGCGCTGTACTACTATAAAAACAACCCTGTAAAACAACACATTTCACTGCACCTATCTGGTGTATGTGACCATAAAAAAAGTTTGGCTTTTAAAAAAGAAGGCATGCCTCCATGAGGAATATCAGGGACATGTATTCCATTTCTCCCACACACATTGTCTTGGAAATTGATTTAGCTCTTTAGTGTCAGTAATTGAGTCATATCACAAATGAAACCCCACACTGTAATGTGTATGTATGAAACCTGATGACTGTGCTCTGCCTGCGCTAGCTGCTCGAGTGTGGAGAGAGCAAGCGAGTGAGTGAGCACACACACAGGGCAACCTCCACTGGGAGGGAAGGTGTTAACTGGCAGGAATGATTGAGGTGTTGGTCTCTGGGAGGCTGCACAAAGGACTGCTGCCTTATTTTCCCTCCTTCTCTTTTCCTATTTCTTTTCTTCTCTATTTTCTCTCTCTCTCTCTCCCCCCTCTCGCTCTCTCCCCCATCTCTCGCTCTCTCCCCCATCTCTCGCTCTCTCCCCCATCTCTCGCTTTCTCCCCCCCTCTCTCTGTGTCTCAATGTGAGGTGTCCCTGCATGCAAGCAGGAGCCTGAGTAAGAGGGAAATGAACCCAATAAATCAAGCTCTTCAGCCTGTCTCTTCTCTCTCCCCTGCTTGGACCTGCTTCTTCCCTCCCTGCGTGGAGCTATGTGCAGTCAGCCAGGAATGTCTTTGCACCTGCCCCAGCCCCTAGCCCCCAGCCTTATCCTACCCAGCAGGGTTTCCGTTAGTAAAATTTGGCGCCAGACCACGTGACTGGCAATATTTTAATTTACCGGACAGTTGAGAAATTTACCGGACATCCATATGCATTGGGTGCGTACCGCATTAGGGCGTCCACCCACGGTGCTCAAAATGACATTTAGATTATTGTAATTCATCTTAACAGAATATAAATTTGCCTGTAAAGTTGTAGTAAAATAAAGTAGAACGATGTTCTTATACCAACATGACAGGTTGTATTCATTCCTGCTTTAAATCATAAATTAATATTTACATTAACATTTAAAAAAAGAAGAAAAAAAACATTTAGCCTTGAACAAGTTGCCTACACAGTAATAAAACACAACTTCAAAATATAATATTTGTATAATTTGCGAACGACCTGTCCTATAGGCTATTTGTATGAATATTTTAATTAATAAATAACAAAACACAGATGTTTTCATATACAATCGAGGCCTCTCTAATTTAATTTAGCCCGGGCATTAACATTTTAATTAGGCCTAATAACAAAACATGGCTGTCTACGAACACCAGGGCCGGCCCGCCCCACTTCCCATTCCCGCTGCCATTCAGCACCACAGCAGTGGAAAGAGGCCACAAAATGAAGAAATGATAAAACTGGTGTTGGACAATCAAATTCAATATGTAAATAAACTATTCGTTAAGGCTAGTTCATTGAGAGAAAGCTTATTTTTACAATGCTCCTGTGAAAGGAGGCCTGTGCCATGCATTTATGAAAGCACTTTTTACACTTTTTTTCTCTACTGGATGATGTTAATAAATATTATGTTTATTGTAATTTGAACTATCGTGGGGTCGTGACTCGTGTCGTGTGATAATGGCTTATTGATAACTCTGTTTCCTACTATAGGCAGTTGGCTGCCTAGTGATTGCAACATTGTAACTCTCTGACATGAATAGTTTTCAACGATGTGTCGTTTCCAAGTGCTACGGAATAAGCTCAACTGAAATGCACCAATTGTGCATGATACACATTATTACTCTACTCTAGTCTATCCATTACAAATCTTTATACTATACATGACACGGGCTGCATATGTTGATCTTGCTTAGGGCGGCAGCGGAACTTCTAAGACCGGGCCTGACGAACACAATAATATGCCTCTAATTTGCTTGAGTTTGCGGCAGACCTTGACCTGCTCAAAGTGAGCCGCTGCTGTTGGGAAGTCAAAATGGTCCAACTCCTTGGAGCAGCTTGAGATGTGCATCAGCCTCGTTACTTTGTCCTCAAGAAGGCGCAATCTTGAGGCCGTCTTTTACTATGTTTTGTAGAAAGAATCCCCTCTTGGCGGGCGCACTGGAAACGGGGATAATCAACATAATCTTTGCCAATTTTGTCCAGTCGGCGTACACTCACTTGTCTTTTGCTTGAGTCAAAATAGAAAGAGACACGCGACACTAATTTCCCAGCAGCTTGAGGATGTATTAGCCTATGAAATATATTTACGTTGGAGCACATCAACTTTTTCCATCAATGAATAAAATGCATTATTATCCAAATGATATTTTGGGGAGGGAAATTTGGCCTTCACCACTTCGCCACAGCCCCCACCCCAGCACTCTACCCTAGACCCAAACCTTTCCGCCAGCCCTATAGCCTAACCCCGACCCCAGTCCAGGCTCCCTACCTCCCAGCCCCCTGGGCTTTAGTCATCAGCCTCCCTCCACCACTGACTACTCCCTTGGGCTCCAAGGCTCCAGGGACATTGAAGGAGAACCATCCCATCCCTCTTCCTGTTTCTATCCCCTCTGTATGTGCAGGGAAGACAATTGTGTGTGACTCACTCTGTGTAGCTGCCCTGTGTCTGTTGATATGAATGTGTGAGGATGTGTGTGTGTGTGTCTCTCAGAGAAAGGGTCCTGGGTGGCTCTCCTCTTCTCCCGCTCATGCTGAATGATTTATGGCATCCCAGAAGCACATGTCAGATTGCGTGCTACAGTATAAGCATCAAAACAGAACATGGCCTTTAGTGGCTCTCACACTTAGGGCTGGGACGATACCAGTATTACAATATTTTTTTCCATGTCAGAAATGAAATCACGAAGCAGACCTTACTCTTTGGTCCTTTTAAAAACCTGCTGTATATAAAATATTGTGTGCTATAGTTTTGAAAATAAATACATGTGACTCTGGATGACAACATAATGGTGTTTCCAACATTAGGGCTGTTTTCCTAAAGAAGTTGAATCTGCTTCGTGTTTTGTTTCCTTGCCACAATACTAACAAGTAACGCGATACTGGTGGTATCGTCCCGGCCCTACTCACACTGCACAGCGCAGTGCTGCTCTGCTCTGGAAATTAAATGGGAATGTTAAGCAGCCATCCAAGCTGAGTCAAGGGAGGGACGGTTCATTCAGGTCATGCGATATGCTCTAGTATCAGATCTGATCTGATCAAGCAGTCAGTCAGGAGCAGAACCAAGACCTCTGGGTACTGTAGTAACTATTACCTATGTTGGAGTTGGAGTGCTGATCTAGGATCAGGTCCCCCGTGTCCGTTCATTATAATCTAAAAGGCTAAACTGATCCTAGGTCCTCAGTCTTACTCTGAGACACTTTATGAATAATATGGGCCCTGATCTTCTGTAGTATAGGCAGGCTCTCATCATCATCATCATAGCCTTTAATGGTCATCTGTTAGATCACAACATCCTCACCAGGGAAGAGTCTGCTGCCTCTGCCATTCACTTAATCTCACTGACAAATTTACTGTATTCAATTCCTGTCTGATTGAACTGTAACTGTTGTCTCTGTGGCTGGTTCAAACCTTCTCACAGCAGGCTCATTGACCATGATCTGAATGTGGACACAACGATGCTCTTGTTGTTTTTTTACCCCTCTGTCTGGTACAATGGATCAGTTGAATGGAGCTGTTAATAAGTGACTCTCCCTCTGTGTCCCTCTTCGCTCGCTCGCTCGCTCTCTCTCGCTCTCCCTCTCTCTATCTCTCAGCCTGTGGCAGAGCCCATCCCTATCTGCAGCTTCTGCCTGGGCACCAAGGAGTCGAACCGAGACAAGAAGCCAGAGGAGCTCATCTCCTGTGCAGACTGTGGCAACAGCGGTGAGTCGCACAGTGGCAGCACAGTTTCTATACGCTGAGACGTCAAGGCTGCGCTGCCTGCTACTTCTGCCTGCACCTTGTTCTATTGGACTTGTCTTAGGTTTCATTTGAATACTAGGTTATTTGTTTTGATTTGTCAAACTAAAGTTATAATGTGACAGGTTGATTTGTTAGTTCTCGTAGATGTCTGAATTTGTCAGTTTGTTGTCATGGTTGATTTTGGATCTATATGGCTTTTTGAGTGGCACTTTTTTCTATTGTGAGGTGGTGTTGTCATTTGGTTGTCTGGATTGTGAGTGTGTGTGACGCTGTTGATCTGTGTCCCCTAGGCCACCCCTCCTGTCTAAAGTTCTCACCAGAGCTCACTGTACGAGTCAAAGCTCTGTGGTGGCAGTGCATCGAATGCAAGACCTGCAGCAACTGTCAAGATCAAGGCAAAAACGCGGTGAGTGTTTGTCTCTGTGTATCTCTGTGTCAGCCAGTGTGCCTGCCTGTACTTCAGCTCAGTACGTAGGAATCAGATCTGTTGTTTTTCAACAAACATAACTATTTTAGACAGCTGCTGCAGATAGTTATCTCTTTCTCCTCAGACCTGCCAAGTACAGTTCTGGTTGGAGGGAAATATGCAAATGGTGGAAATGTCAACTATGTAAACTTGACGGCAGGGAGTGACCAAACGTTTACTGATGTCTGTGTGTGTGTGCGTGCAGGAGAACATGTTGTTCTGTGACTCCTGTGACCGGGGTTTCCACATGGAGTGCTGTGACCCCCCACTGATGCGGATGCCAAAAGGTAACCCCCGCTCCACTACTTCTCCTCTCTCCCTCTCCTACCCCTGACCCTCCTAATGTACCCAATAAAATCCACTTAAACATACACTGTCCTGGGAAATACCTGCCTCTGTGCAGTAAATGGATCCACTGTACATCTAAACGACTATGGCCATGAGGTAATTGAGAACAAATGACAAAGCTCCGAAGGACCACAAACCAAGAAGAGACCTCTTTCCCCCAGTGTAATGAAATGGATCTTTATTGTGGTTCTAATGCTGGTGGTACTGTGTAGTGCATGTCAGTGAATGGTGGTAGAACTGAAGAAGCGATTTCAGGCCAGCTAAGCTAATACACTCCTCTGATCTCTTCTGCTCTGATCTGTTCTGTTCTGCTCTCCCACCAGGCATGTGGATCTGTCAGATCTGTCAGCCCAGGAAAAAGGGAAGAAAGCTCTTGCATGAAAAGGCAGCACAAATCAAACGGCGCTACAACGCACCACTGGGACGACCCAAGAACAGGTTGGTAACAACATGGAGAGAGCGGCTGCTTGGCAGCATCGTCTGGGAGCTAGCAGCTCAGCACGGCACGGTGCTAGACCTGTAAAACACAGTGGGTCACTTCAGATCAGCCCCACTAGAGTTTCACTGGCCAGTCAGACTATTTCTAATGACTACAGACTGTTTTTAATGACTGCCTATTAGGATAAAAATACCAGAGTTTCATGCCATAAATTACGCTTCTTTGGAGCATAGAATCTAGCTATAGAATCTAGCTCTAAGGTGCAGGGTTATGCTTAGAGGCTGCTGCCCAATATACATAGACATGGAATCACTGGCCACTTTAAAAATGGAACACTAGTCTCTCTAATAATGTTTACATATTTTTGCTTTACTCATCTCATATGTATATACTGTATTCTATTCTACTGTATTTTAGTCAAAGCCACTCTGACATTCCTCATCCTAATATTCCATTCTTTTACTTTTAGGTTGTGTGTATTGTTGTGAATTGTTAGATATACTGCACTGTTGGATTTAGAAACACAAGCATTTCGCTACACCCTCAATAACATCTGCTAAACATGTGTATGTGACAAATAACATTTGATTTGATTTGAAACTCACTGATCAACCAAATGGAGCTGTTTAATGTGGGGAGTGGGGGACCTAGCCTTGATGTCTTTTGTTGACACTACTTGATCATTGGAAACACAAATGCCAATCTGTACAAACTATTGTTAATTTATCTGTTTTGTTTTGGCTGTCTTCAGTGGCTCTTGTTGCTATGTAAATTGCTTCCAAATAACCAGGCCTTAGTCTATATAGTGTGTTGCTATTAGCTGGTGGGTGTCTGAATAATCCCATCTCCCGTTGCAGACCGGGCAGGCCATTCAAGAAGCTGCGAGGGCCGGGTGGGCGTGGCAGGCGGAAGGGGGGCCGTCGCTCGCAGGGCTCCTCCTCACCGCACTCGTCGTCCAGCTCGTCCTGCGAGGGTTACCCTGGCGACGACCGGCTGCTGTTCTCCCTACGAGAGGACTCGTCGGAGCAGGGCGGCCTTCGCTTCAACAAGAAGACCAAGGGCCTGATTGACGCCCTCACAAAGTTCTTCACGCCCTCGCCCGACGGACGCAAGGCCCAGCACGAGGTGGACTATTCCCAGCAATACCGCATCCGCAAGAAGGCCATACGCAAGGGAGAGGGGGACGACAGGACAGGTGAGGAGGGTAGGCTGAATAATGCATTGAATACTGAGGGTGAACGAGAGGCTGTAGTGGCTGTATTTGTATCAGTCAAAAGCTGCACTTCATACTATGTCCTTCAGACAGACTCAACACCTGCATAGTGGTTGTTGGTCTTTGAGAACTGGCCCACTGGCCACACAGTCAGAACCTTCAAATGTGAATGTACTGGCCCCTTTCTCTAAGTGTCCCACTGACTACTGTCCTCCTCTGTCTCTGTCCTCCACAGATAATCAGGACAGTAGTGACTGGCGTGAGGACGAGGACAAGCTGCCAGGACACGAGAACCTGACGGAGAAAGATGTGGAACTCTTCAGACACATCCAGGAGCTGGCACTACAGGTAACCACGAAGACTGAGACAAAGAAAGAAAGTGTTTGTCTCTGTGTGTGTGTGTGTGAGGGGGGCACTGTGGTTCAGTGCGTTGTCGGAGCAGAGCTGATCTATCTGTGTCTATTCTGTTGCAATCCCTCACTGGCACAGACAGAGCAGAGCTTCAGATCACTGCCATATATCACAGGAGAAACACTCTATGCCAACGCTGGGTTTTATTCTTGTCTTGACATTTTGTCACTGAGTTTTCTCTAGTCTTGGTCAGTAGGAGAATAGGAAAGGCTGGTGAAAAGTAGAGGTACAAGCACAGCGTTTGATGGTTTCCTGTTGCCTTGTGGTTTGTTTACAATTACAGTGTAGACTAGACACATTGTTGAACTGCTTGTGTTCCTCTGAGAGTTGATCCTCTCCTCTCACGGCAGTCAGTGAAAAAAATTAAACTCAGATCTGACTCTGTAGGCAGGGGTGAGGGGCCTTAGGTGTGTGTGTTTCGGAGTGTGTGGTTACCAGCGCATGTCAACAGAACCCAATGGCAGATGCCTAGAGTTTCCACTCAAGACAGACCAGAGAGCTGATAATAATCATGTAAGCAGGCGTCAGGGTGCCAGCTGCACAGGAGCCGGTGTGTGTATGTGTGCGCTTGTTTGTTTTACTGTGCCTGTGTGGGTGTGCCTTGGTGTGTGTATGTCTTTCTGTCACTGAGTGTGTGTGTGTGTATGGTGTGTTTGAGTGCCGGTGCGTGCCAGGCCTTAGTGTGTGTGTCGGGCATACTGTGCTGGGTTAGGCAGGGGTCAGTCAGAGGCCCAGTAATCCCTGGTGTGTAATCTCAGTCTGATCCAGGTTATTTTCTTAATTCCCTGTTGGAAAACATGGCCTTCACTTATACTGGAGCTACAAACCTGAACCCCCCTTCTCTTCTCTCGCTCTGTCTCTCTCTCTGTCTGTCTATCTATCTGTCTGTCTGTCTGTGTGCAGAAAGTGGGGGTGACCGGCCCTCCAGATCCCCAAATGCGCTGCCCGTCTGTCATCGAGTTTGGCAAGTTTGAGATCCAGACTTGGTACTCCTCTCCGTACCCACAAGAGTACAGCAGGTAAACAAACGCAAACATTTCACACGCTCCACTCCGAGTCAGTCCACTGTTAGTTTATGTTTGTATAATTTATGTTAATGATTTAAAGTCAGTTTTGCTCTTGTCTGGTCCTCTTCAATTTTCCTCAATCTCCTCTCCCTGTCCCAGACTGCCTAAGCTCTACCTGTGTGAGTTCTGCCTGCGCTACATGAAGAGTCGCAGCATCCTCTTCCAGCACATGAGAAAGTGTGCCTGGTTCCACCCTCCAGCCAATGAGATCTACAGGAAGGATGGCGTCTCCGTGTTCGAGGTGAGACAGGCTGAGAGACAGAGGGATACAAACAGAGAAAGTTGGAAAGAGAGAGATAGAGAGAAGCAGACGGAGGCCACCGCCCTGCCACACCGCTCCTGCCACATCCTGTGCTCAGTGTCAGTGTCACAAAGAATCTCTGTGGACTGAAGGCTGAGAATTGAGAACCACTGCACCAGTAAGCTACATACTGTAAGCCTCAGAGGCTGCGTTTACACAGGCAGCCCAATTCTGATATTTATTTCACTAATTGGACTTTTGACCAATCAGATCGGCACTGAAAAATAACTGATGTGAAAAGATCTGATGTGATTGGTCAAAAGACCAATTAGTGGAAAAAAGATCAGAATTGGGCTGCCTGTGTAAACGCATCCTAATTGAGGGGCAGTCCGTCTGTCTGGTAGGATGGTGTCTGCAGCTCTGGTTTCACTGCCTCTGCAGCCCGTCCCGTCCTGACTCGTCCCTTCCTGTCCTCACTCAGCAGCAGAGTGGAATAGCTGGGATGTCTGGCTGTGTGCCAGGGAGCCTCTCTCTCTCCCAGCCAGGGACACCAGAGATGCCATGGCTCACATCATTGGCATTATGGTCTGAGACAACTCACCTCCTCCCATATCCCACATGTGTCTGTCTCATAGTTACTGATTTTAAGGTTCGGAAACAGGCTGAATGGTTCTGTCAAGACTGCCCTTTTGAACTTGGATCATTGTAGTCAAACTCATGTGTAATACTTGTATTTGTTATATTCAAATGCACGTTTGCCTCGGCAGCTTGGTGGTTGCTCTCTGTGCTCATGACGTGTAAATCAAATTCCTTTCGGGTTTTCATTCATTTAATTTATTCATGGTGTGTTTGTGTGTTGTTTTCACAGGTGGATGGGAACGTGAGCACAATCTACTGTCAGAACCTATGTCTGTTGGCCAAGCTGTTCCTGGACCACAAGACTCTGTACTACGACGTGGAGCCCTTCCTCTTCTATGTCCTCACACAGAACGACAGCAAGGGCTGCCACCTGGTGGGCTACTTCTCCAAGGTACATCTAACCACCAAATCATCCAAATTAACACATCTGTAAATAAGCACATCCGGTTAAACCCTAAAGTTGCCTTTACGGACAGATCTAGGATCAGCTTACCCTCCCTAAATCCTAACCTTAACCATTAGCGTGGAATTGCACAAAGCTGTCTTTAGATCAGTGTCTGGACGTACCTTCATTATGCTCTAGTGAATCCCTCAGTATGCAGAGAAACCTCTGCTGCTTTGATGCTCTGTCTCACCCCTGTCTGCCTGTACGGATGCAGGTGTTCTTATTAACATACAGACTGGCTGCCAAAACACAGCAATGATCTTCACACACACACACAGAGACTCCTACTGTGCTAGTACAGTCTTGCTCCGAGTACATTTCCATGCCTTTTCCCCCCTCATTGGAATCTTTCTCTCTCTCTCTCTCTCTCTCTCTCTCTCTCACACTCTCTCTCTCTTTCCCTCTCCAGGAGAAGCATTGTCAACAGAAGTACAACGTGTCCTGCATCATGATTCTTCCCCAGTACCAGCGCAAGGGCTACGGTCGCTTCCTCATCGACTTCAGTAAGGAGCTCCTCTCAGGCTCAGCTTTACCTCCGCTTCCCAGACCTCTTTGATGCTGTGCTGGTGGCTCTAAGCTGCTGTAGGGTTTTGGATCAATGCCAACAGAATAGCAGTCAATCCCATTGAATTGAACTAGCAATGCGTTGGGATCTGATTCAAAGTGGCTGTAATGTATAATGTCCGGTCCAATTCCTTGTTGAGTTGAAGAACTGAAACTGCATTGACCCCTTCCTACTCTGCTTAGCTGTTTGAATTGGATGCTTTAGAAGGTGGAGGTTATTTTGAGGGAGCTGAACCACTAACATGTAGTAGTAGAACAGGTTGTGGTAGAAATAGTAGCATTTATTTATAATGCACAGTCCTGACTGAATTGTGTACACCAACAGTCATAGGCTAAATTGCCCACCAATGTAAATGCACCTTGTATATCCTACCGATTTACAATTGACCTTGTTCTCACCCCGCTCCCCTCTCTCTCCCTTCCCTTCCAGGCTACCTGCTGTCCAAGCAGGAGGGCCAGCCTGGCTCCCCAGAGAAGCCCCTGTCAGACCTGGGTCGTCTGTCCTACATGGCCTACTGGCGCAGTGTGGTGCTGGAGTGTCTCCATGAGGTCCGCGACCGCCAGCTCACCATCCGACGCCTCAGCAAGATCACTGGCATTTGCCCCCAGGACATCACCGCCACGCTGCACCACCTCAACATGCTGGAGCAGAGAGAGGAGCGGTGAGACATGCACACACAGAGGCATAATCAGGATGACAACACAAATTCAACGATGCAGAAATTAGCAACAGCATGCTGACTACAAGGCCATTGAAAGCTGATGAAACGATTCTACAGCATAGAACATGTCTGTTTGGCAGCCGTCATTTGTTCAGAGTAGTTCTTCCCTCCCTGTAGGGATAACTGAACTGTCTGAACACCACACTCTGACCTTCTCTGTCCCCCTGTCCTGTAGGCTAGTCCTGGTGCGTAAGGAGATGCTGGTTTCCACCCACATGGCTCGTCTCACCGCGAGGCCCCGGCTGCTAGAGGTGGACCCGGACTGTCTCCGCTGGACCCCCGTCATCGTCACCAACACCGTGGTGTCGGAGGAGGAGGAGGAGGAGGAGGAGGAGGGAGAGGACACCTGCAAGAAGGTGCAGACAATGATGCTTCAGTTTATTTTAGATTTCAGAAGAAAGACATAACAATGACTTGAATGGATTAGTGGTAAATGGAGTAATTTTTTTTTACAGATCAAGCCTAGCCACAAGGTGTCTCCACTCTCCTGGCTCGTCCGAGGAGAAGAGGGGGAAGAGGAGGAGGAGGAGGAGGAGATGATGATAAAGTGCTTCCCGGGGTTCCCAACCAGCCAAAGCTCTCCGGCCTCCTCCCCAGTCCACTGCCCCCCGCCCGTCCCCGAACACCGGTCCCCTCCCCCCGCCAACGGAGAGCGCAGGGGCAGGGGCCGCCCGCCGAAGAACTGGCCCTGGGGCAAGGTGAAGGACAGGCCACGGGCCGAGAGGAGGCTGGGACCAGGACGACCTCCAAAGATACGGGTGGAGGTGCAGGATGAGGACAGGGCTGAGGGCACTAAAGTCAGCCCCACCTCCGGCAGCAGCCCACCCTCCCTCTTCTCTTTAGACAGACAGCTGGCTGAGTCTACAGGCACCTTCAGGCCCCTAGAGATGCTTGGCAGGCACGCCACTGTCACACCCCCACGCAGCAGAGGGCGCCCTCCCAGGAAGAAGAAGGGCCCCAAGCGCAGGCTGAGTGAGGGTCCCGGGGAAGCCTTGCCCCAGCTGCCCCTGGCGCCCAGACTCAGCGACCCGCCTCCAGTCAGACGGAGCTGCTTCAGTGAAAGCAGCGAGGAAGAGGAGGAGGATGATGATGACGAGGAGAGGGGGGCTCACTCACCACCCATCCTCACAAAGCCCACCCTAGGGCTCAAATGCAAGGTGAGAGGAAAGGATAAGGATCTTCTTTTTTTTTCTTACCACTTACTGCTTGTTTACAAAATGTGTCTGCATTATATTTCAATAGCTTTTCCCATATCTCCCCAGAAGCCGTTGAGGAAGAGGCGCATGCGTCAGCGCAGCCATAGCCACGCTCACAGCAGCGTGGTGACAGAAACCATCTCTGAAACCACCGAGGTGCTGGACGAGCCCTTCGTAGACTCTGACTCTGAGAGGCCCATGCCCCGGCTGGAGGAGGAGAGCCCCCTGGGACACCCCCTGAGGTGCTACCCCCCGGCCCGCTCCGTCCTACGACACACAGAGACACCGCCCAAGAGAGCCCAACGAGCCAACCTCACAGAGTCAGAGGAGGATGGTGAGGCCACAGGAGTCCTTAGGGCTAACAGAGCAGTTATTTATATACCAAGGTTTTGGTGTATAGTAAATGTTGGAGCAGAGCTGTATGTTCGCTAGGCGTTGATATACAGTACTTGCTTGAGTAGATATGCATGTGTAACAATGGATTTCTCTCCCCTTCTCTGTTCTTGTACAGAACCCACTCCTGTTCTGAAGCCAGCGTCCTTCCTACGGAACCCAGAGCCCACGGCCTCAGCAGAGAGCCCGGCGGCCAACACGGAGGCCCCCATCAAGAAGAAGAAAGGCTGGCCCAAGGGCAAGCCCCGTAAGCCCATGCACTGGAAGAAACGGCCGGGCGGAGCCAAGCAGAACGCAGGGGACACCAGTCTGACCAACTCAGGGGACCCTCCACCCCCCAAGATCAAGATGAAGCCAGGCCGCAAGCCCCAGAGCTGGTACCTACAGCGGGCCCAGGAGGAGGCCAAGAGGCAGGAGGCAGAGAGACAGAGGCTGGGTCTGGGAGGGGGGCAGCAGCTAGACAAGCCCCCCCAGCAGCTAGAGGACCGAGCATGCAAGAGGGCCTCCAGAGCCGCAGCTACCGACAACGACAAACGCAAAGACTCTGATGAAGAGGATGACTACCTCCCCAAGCCCGTGGAGCAGAGAATCCCCAAGAGGCGGGGGAGACCTCCCAAAAACCCAGCCTTGCTACAACAACCCGTCCCAAAGCAGCCCACTGTCTCAGAGCCAGAAGAGGAGGAGGAGACAGAGAGGGGCTGGGTAGAGGACAAGCCCAGCCGCCAACCGTCCCGTTCCCTGCTCTCTCCGTCCTCTACCGGAGGCCCCAGGGCCCCCCAGCCCAGTAGGCCAGACACGGACAGAGTCATGGCTGACAGGGATGAGGAAGACGAGGAGAGGGAGGATGAAGAGTGTGCCATCCTGGACACCAGCAGTAGAAGGACGGCGGCCACGCCAGGCTCGGGCAGCAGACGCAGCGACGACCACGATGCAGACGATGAAGGAGACGGACACCTGGAGGACAAGAGTAACAGTAGCTGCAAAAAGAAGAAGAGCCAGGACTCAGAGGAGGAGGAGGAGGATGAAGACGACGAGGAAGAACCTGCCTCCCCCACCTGCTCTCCACCTGTCAAAGAGGAACCCCAGGGCGGGGAAGGTTTTTTAGACATGCAGGGCAGTGTGCAGGCCAGAGACTCCTACGTCAGCAAGCAGGAGGAGGACGAAGAGGCGGAGGAGCTGCAGGAGGTGAAGTGCCGGCCTCTGGACGCGGCACAGGACGAGAGAAGGCGGCGGGAGGCAGAGGAGTCAGCAGCAGCGGCCGCGGCGGTGGAGACGGTGACAGCCATCTCAGTCCCATCTGAGCCCCTGGAGCTGCAGCTGCTGCACCCCGAGGACAAGGCTGTCACGCTGCTGATGGAGCCCCAGCACCCACACCCTCAACCCAACCTGCACCCCGACTCCTTCAAGGAGGAGCTGAGCCACCACCACGGGTCCCACCACGGTCAGCATCACCACAGCAACGAGCTGGACCTGGAGACGGTGCAGGCGGTCCAGTCTCTGACCCAGGGAGAGGTCCAGGACGAGGAGCCAGAGAGCCACGGGGTCTCCCACGGAGCCTACCAGGACTGTGAAGAGACGCTGGCTGCCTGCCGCACCCTGCAGAGCTACAGCCACGCCGGGGAAGCAGAGGAGGAGGCTACACACCTGGCCCTGGTGGAGGAGTGTGGAGCCTCCCAACACAGCAGCCCCCTGCCCCACACCAACCCCCCCATGCCCCCGTTACCCAGCCAGTCAGTCCATTCCATCAACAGCCCAGCAGGCATGATGGAGTCTGGGCTGGGGCAGCAAAGAGGGGGCACACCAGGCCCTACTGGGGGAACAGGGGCAACGGGAGGAGGAGGAGGAGGGGGGTACACCCAGATTACTCCTGAGCACCCCAGTTCCTTGTCGGCCCCGTCCCAGCAGAACATGGAGACCAGTCCCATGATGGACGTTCCGTCGGTGTCGGACCACTCCCAGCAGGTGGTGGACAGTGGCTTCAGCGACCTGGGCAGCATCGAGAGCACCACAGAGAACTACGACAATCCCAGCAGCTACGACTCCACCATGGGTGGCGGGGGCAACGGGGGAGGGAACAATGGCGGTAACCATGCAGTGGTGACTGCGGCCGCCTCTTCCTCGTCGTCGACGGGCTCCTCCTCTTCCTCCAGCTCGGCCACACCCTCCTCACAGGGCAACAGCTGCTCTTTCATCCCTGCGCCCGGCCTCACGTCTTCCAGCGGCACAGTGACATCACAACTCGCCATGGGCAGCTGCAGTCTCATCCAACAAACTGGACCAGGGCCCAATAACGGGCCGGGTGGCAACAACAGCGTTCCCCCACCGCCACCCCGTCCCCCGTCTGCCAACAACCACCAAGGCATCAAGTCCCCTCAGAGCTGTGTGATCGAGAGGTCGCCCAGCGCCAGCCAGCAGTCCCAGAAAAAGGTGCAGCATCAGCCCCCTCAGCAGCAGCAGCAGGCTCCCCACCCCCTGCCCTCGGCCCCTCCAACCCCCCACCCGTCCCAGCAGCAGCAACCTCTGTCCCAGTGCAGTATGGGGAATGGCTTTGGCTCCACGCCTATGATCATGGAGATCCCTGAGAGTGCCTCCCAGGGAGGGGGCCGCAGCCTGTACGAGCGGATGGGCCAGGACTTTGGTGCAGGGGGTTACCCCCAGCCCTCGGCCACGTTCAGCCTGGCTAAGCTGCAGCAGCTCACCAACACCATCATGGACCCCCACGCCATGCCCTACTCTCACTCGGCCTCCGTCACATCCTACGCCACCAGTGTTTCTCTGTCTAACCCCGGTCTGGCCCAGCTCTCCCCCTCCCCACACCCTCCCTTAGCCCAGGGCCAGGCCACCATGACCCCACCTCCCCAACTGAGCTCTGGCTCCATGAACCTGGGCTCGCTGCAGTGCAACATGCCCACCAGCAACATCGGCCTTCCTCCCCCGCCCCACACCCAGCGGCTGCAGGGCCAGATGGCCACAGTGAAGGGCCACATCTCCATCCGCTCCAAGGCCCAGCTGGCCCCCGCTCCCTCCCCGCACCAGCAGCAGTTGTACAGCCGCAGCTCTGGGGCCGTGGCCATGCAAGGCTCGCCCCGCACCCTGGCCGTACAGCGTGGCATGATGCCCAACCTCATGCCCACGCCAGCCAGCTACAACACCATGAACATGAACCAGCTCAACGCCATGTCGGCCGGCTACCGCATGCCACAGCCCATGATGAACAGCGGTTACCACGGGAACCCCCCTTACATGAACCAGCCCGCCCAGTACCCCATGCAGATGCAGATGGGCATGATGGGGGGACAGGGGTACCCACAGCAGCCTATGCAGCCCAATCACCACGGCAACATGATGTACACGGGCCCCACCCACCACAGCTACGCCGGCGTCCCCAAACAGTCGCCTTACATGAGCAGATGAGCAGAGCGTGGAAGAACAACACCGCAGCTCTAGAGAGACAGAGATGGGAGGAACACTCTCCAACCTGACCTGACACTCGCTGATGGAGGGAGGGACTCTGCTGTTGCCTCTCTTTACTGAATGACTTACTGTTGTATCCACCCTCTCCAAAGCCAGAACGAGCGAGCGCAAAGGGAGAGCGTGAGGAGAGAGAGGGAGGACTATGTTTTCCTGTTTTGTATGTTGTCATTTTGTTCCGTTCAGTTGGACTCATTTCCCCCCAAGCTGGCTGTGTAGGGAGTGAGCTGGCAGAGCTGGGGCGATACATAACGTCTAAATGGTCCTCTGGTACTGTATGGCAGACTGCTCTAGTCTAGTCAGACCTAAACGACATGCTCCTCTTTGGCACAGTTTCTACGCTAACGGAAGGCTCCTCTCCACTGTTTACCTGGCAGAGTGGAGGAGGTGGAAGAGGAAGATGGGCTGAGAGATGGACTTTGGAGGACCTTACATTGTCAAAACTGAGAAAGGGAAAAACAAAAAGTGGTTAACTAAATATATGAAACCATGCACACAATCTTTTAATTGACATAGGAAGCCTTACATTTAAAAAAAGAGACGATGATTAGAATTGTAGATGGACTCTTGTTTTTGTTTTTTTTATATAATTTTGAGTACTTTCGTTTTGTTTTTATTTTGACAGCCGTTGAAAGTAACTTGTGCAGTCCAACCTTTCTATGCTTTGGTCTTTATGTGGCATACTGGAATGGTGGTTCACCCTCTAGCTCCAATACATACTCTCTCACACACACGCTCAAGTGCACACACACTCCATTGCCTCTTTGTGAGCCGTGGCATTTCAGTCTCAGATATGGGGCCCCAGTGGAGCACAACATAGTAACAAGTGTCTGGAGGGTCTTCCTGGTAGGGCGGTGTGTATCAGGCCAGAACAGAAGAATACAGTGATGGAGGAGAGACGAGGGGTCACTGTCCATTAGTATGTCCATAAATAAATAAACAAACCAGTAGTGTCCTCAGCATCACCCACGGGATGCTGTAGCTGTTTGTTCTGAAATGTTTAGATGTAAATATTCTGGTACTTCCTGTTGATTCACAGCACAGTCCGTCAGTCTCCCCTCTGTGGCAGGCTGAAGACATTGCAGCATTCGCACATTTTTCATCACACTCCACAGAAAGCTATTATTAGGCCTTTTTACCCATTAGGCCTTGTACGTCTGTCAGCCCCATGCAGTTTACCTTCTATGGAATAAATAAATACACAGAGATTTGAGGTCGAACTCACTGCTTTAAGGAACATCAGCTGTTGCATATCAGCTGAGCCGCTTCGTTAAGTGTTAGTGACAGGCATCCTCTCAGAAGGGTGTTTTCTGTTAAAACAAGTTAATATGTGCAAGTCTACAGTGCACTCCCATTGACTAGTAGAGATGTCTGAGCTCTATGGACCGTCAGCATCCGGAGAGGTGGCCAATGCCAAATACTGTGCATTGTGTACGCCCACCACACACGCAGACATCTGGATGGTTACTGTGTTAGGTTGGGGAGGGTGGAGGAGGAATTTACCCAGTTGTCTCAGTGTTCCAGTATTCAAAGTCAAAATGAGGATACTTTTCTTAGACCTGACGTTTCATATATTATTTGTGTGTATTGTTTTTAGTTTGTTCGTTTTATTTTCTCTGAATTTTCTCAGACTGGGCAGCTTTCTTTTATGACACAAGCTGACTCTTTTTGACTTTAGAACCTATTGTAGGGAATGTTTTTTCTATAATATAAAAAAGAAATTCTGACGTTGATATTGGTACTGTCATTTTTTTCACTTCAGTTTCAGGAAAAAAAAACAATACATATTTTTTAGCTCGACTCTTGAGGTAATATTATTAAGAAATTCAAAACTAAAAAAAAAAATACCACTCACTTTTAGTGAATTTAAGATGCCTTTAACCTCTCCATTCCACTCATCTAGAGTTTTCTATCTTTGTCTAGTATATTAATGCTATTTTAAAACAAAAGGAAAAAACAAATATCTAAAGGTCACTTAGCCGTTCTTTTGTTTGGATTTTTTTGTGTGTGAATAGGACGACTTCCTTACATTTTAAGAGGCATGTAAAAATGAGCTCAGTATATTTGTCTGTTTATATCGCTTCCCTTTTTGTATCCTTTGTAATTGTACATGGTGCGTTGTAAGCTAAGAGAGAGCGCAAGATATAGAGAGGAGGGGCGGGCTGGGTGCCCTGTGAAGGTTGATAGTGCCCGGCTGCCTCAGTCTCTCTTTGTCCCTGTATGTATTTCCATTTATTAGTTTTTTTTTCTTTCTTAGCAAGTACTTTCAAAGAACTCTGTACATTTTAACATAAAACAAAAATAAATTATGTTGAGCCATTTATGTTGTCATGGTATTTCATGGATCTCTTGTTCTGACTCCTGCCGATTAAAAAAAATTGCTGCTCCTTTGCAGTGATAATATTTTCGCACTTTATTTAGAAACTCATTATGCTTACATTATTTGTGCTTCTTTGCAGATAAAAAGCCTGTAAAGATTGCTATGCGAAGCGGGCTCACAGTGCATTCGGAAAATATTCAGACCCCTTTTTCCATATTTTGTTACGTTGCAGCCTTATTCTAAAATTGATTAAATTAAATTTTTTCCTCATCAATCTACACACAATACACCATATTGACAAAGTGAAAAATGTTTTTTAGAAATTTTAGCAAATATATTAAACATAGAAAAACACAACTTATTTACATAAGTACTCAGACCCTTTGCTATGAGACTTGAAATTGAGCTCAGGTGCATCCTGTTTCCATTGATCATCCTTGATGTTTCTACTTGATTGGAGCCCACCTTTGGTAAATTCAATTGATTGGACATTATTTGGAAAGGCACACACCTGTCTATATAAGGTCCCACAGTTGACAGTGCATGTCAGAGCAAAAACCAAGCCATGAGGTCGAAGGAATTTTCCGTAGAGCTCCGAGACACGATTGGTGAAGGGTACCAAAACATTTCTGCAGCATTGAAGGTCCTCAAGAACACAGTGGCCTCTATCATTCTTAAATGGAAGAAGTTTGGAACCAACAAGACTCTTCTGAGCTGGCCACCCGGCCAAACTGAGCAATCGGGGGAGAAGGGCCTTGGTCAGGGAGGTGACCAAGAACCCGATGGTAACTGACAGAGCTCCCGAGTTATTCTGTGGAGATGGGGGAACCTTCCAGAAGGACAACCATCTCTGCAGCACTCAACCAATCAGGCCTTTATGGCAGAGTCGCCTGACAGAAGCCACTCCTCAGTAAAAGGCACATGACAGCCCGCTTGGAGTTTGCCAAAAGGCACCTAAAGGACTCTCAGAACATGAGAAACAAGATTGAACTATTTGGCTTGAATGCCAAGCGTCACGTCTGGAGGAAACCTGGAACCATCCCTACGGTGAAGCATGGTGGTGGCAGCATCATGCTGTGGGGATGTTTTTGAGCGGCAGTGACTGGGAGACTAGTCAGGATCAAGGGAAAAATGAACAGTGCAAAGTACAGAGATCCTTGATGATAACCTGCTCCAGAGCGCTCAGGACCTCAGACTGGGGTGACGGTTCACCTTCCAACAGGACAATGACCCTAAGCACACAGCAAAGACAATGCAGGTATGGCTTCGGGACAAGTCTCTGAATGTCCTTGAGTGGCCCAGCCAGAGCCTGTAACAGATCGAACATCTCTGGAGAGACCTGAAAATAGCTGTGCAGCGATGCTCCCCATCTAACCTGACAGCTTGAGAGGATCTGCAGAGAAGAATAGGAGAAACTCCACAAATACAGGTGTGCCAAGCTTATAGCGTCATACCCAAGAAGACTTGAGGCTGTAATCGCTGCCAAAGGTGTTTCAACAAAGTACTGCGTAAAGGGTCTGAATACTTACATAAATGTGATATTTCAGTTATTTTTTAAAGTTTTTGCTAAACAATCAAAAAATCAGTTTTTGCTTTGTCGTTATGGGGTATTGTGTCTAGAATGAAAGGGGGGGGGGGGGGGTGTAACTAAATGTGGAAAAAGTCAAGGGGGCTGAATACTTTCCGAAGGCACTGTACGATCCAGTGCACAGAAGAGTGGATAAGAGACTGCAAAATGTCAGACTGATTGCAAATAAGTATTCAGCTTCCATTCAAGGGAACCCTATGAAGAAAATGTCCAGTCACTCCCATAAACAGCTTTCTACTTGTCAAGACACCTGCTACATCTTCAATATAAGCCAGAGGGAGCGATTCTATTATCCTATGTATCATTTACAGACTCACATATGGAACTATCAAACTGACAGATGATATACTGATTTAACAGTTGGCCTATTTATGGTGGTGTAAAGTACTTAAGTAAAAATACTTTAAAAGACTACTTAAGTAGTTGTTTTGGGTATCTGTACTTTACTATTTATATTTTTGACAAATTTTACATTTACTCCACTACATTCCTAAAGAAAATAATGTACTTTTTACTCCATACATTTTCCTTGACACCCAAAAGTACTTGTTACATTTCGAATGCTTAGCATGACAGGAAAATTGTCCAATTAATGCACATCTCAAGAGAACATCCCTGGTCATCACTACTGCCTCTGATCTGGCTGACTCACTAAACACAAAATGCTTCATTTGTAAAGAAGTCTGAGTGTTGGAGTGTGCCCCGGCTATCTGTAAAGAAAGAAAGAAAGAAAATCGTGCCATCTGGTTTGCTTAATATAAAGAATGTGAAATGATTTATACTTTTACTTTTGATACTTAAGTATATTTAAAATCAAATACTTTTAGACTTTTACGCAAGTAGTATTTTGCTGGGTGAATTTCACTCTTATTGAGTCATTTTCTCAATAATGACAATTGGGTACTTTTTCCACCACTGCCTATTTGTCTCTATTGCACATATGTAACTGTCACATTATTGGCCTATTATGTGTAATATATATTCAAGTAGCCTTCACTATTTTAAAATACTAAAATATGTATCCCTCTCAGGGCTATGCTATGGCTAATAGATCTGATACACTGGTGGTTTCAATTTAACCAGGTAAATTAATTTATATTATATTTCAAATGAATATAATGTATCTATTTTGTATGCACAAAATGTATCCACAAGATGAAATCTGATACGATCCGTGGACGATGTCTTGACACAAAATGTCAGACACGACCGTGTTGGTGAGCCAATCAAGGTGCATGTTCATCTGGCGTTCACCTGTACACTGTCCAATTACAATCTAGTTCCGAGTCTGACGTTCACAAACATCCGCTCTATGGACCAATCACTATTTGGGAGAGGAGGGCATTCTTGCTTTTTCTCGTCTCCGATTGGTCCTCTCTGAAGTTTGCTTCCTCCTCATTCCGTTCCAGCTAACGGAGAAGAAGCGACGGCCTTTTCTAATCTTTCATTGAGAAAAGGCGAGACAAAAACATCAATAGATTGTCTTCGGTAAGTAATTACACTTTCTAAAAAGACGGAATAGCAGTAAAATATTCAGAGCAATGGATGAATAATTCCGTTCTCTGTATTCATCATCGCTGTATGACGGGGATCGCCTGCTGTCACAAGACAACCGTGTGGGGGGAGGAGGGGGGTCTGATGCACGGATGTTGTAGGGATACAGATGCAGGCCTGTCTTCAAGTAAAATATCTTCGTGTGCGTACAGGGAACCTACGTTCGTGTGCGTGCAGGGAACCTACGGGTAGCACGGCCGCCCACTGCGGAACTTGATAGCAGGCCGAATATTTAATGAAATAGTGTCACCTTACATGAAACATTGTCACTGCTCATAGATGTATGTCTATATTTTTTTAGGGTAACTGTGTAACTCAGACTCAATTTTATTCCAACTGTCTATTTTGTTCCAACTGCATGGGATGGTATAGCTAAAACAATTTCAGAGTCGCTAAATTCTTCTTATTTTCCTGTCTCAGCCTCCAGCCAAAATGATCCACAGCCTGTTCCTCGTGAACTCCTCGGGGGATATTTTCCTTGAGAAACACTGGAAGAGCGTTGTGAGCCGCTCCGTGTGCGACTACTTCTTCGAGGCGCAAGAGCGCGCCAGTGAGCCGGAGAACGTGCCCCCCGTCATCCCGACCCCCCACCACTACCTCATCAGCGTGCTCAGGCACCGCATCTACTTTGTGGCAGTCATCCAGAGCGAGGTGCCGCCGCTCTTTGTCATCGAGTTCCTACACAGGGTAGTTGATACATTCCAGGTTTGTACTTGGACTTGGTATACTCACTTTTCATCCATTCACTTTCATTTGTACTTGTTCAGGCTCTTCTTCACCTAGGTCTACCTTGCAATGTGATCTGTCCAGCGGTCTAAAGTCTTACAACTGCTAACTCTCTCTGAGTTACTGAATGTCTTATTGTTAAGTTACCAAATGTTTTTACTTTTTAAAGGATGTCGTAAGTCATTGATCAAAATATACTGATCCCGCCCTGTTGTCAGGACTATTTTGGGGTGTGCACGGAGGCAGCGATCAAGGACAATGTGGTGGTAGTATATGAGCTGCTAGAGGAGATGCTGGACAATGGCTTCCCCCTGGCCACAGAGTCCAACATCCTCAAAGAGCTCATCAAGCCACCCACCATCCTGCGCACAGTGGTCAACACCATCACAGGTACCTGAAGATTACCATGTCTGCCTCTACACGGTCACTATGTCATCACTTTTTTCCTGACTATTAAAAACCTCAACCTCCTAGTATTATACCACATAACCTGACCAGAAAAAACAGGCCCTTAGTCATGACGTGTGTTCATCATTATTTACATTATTTCTTAATTATTCATCATAATTATTTACACATTATTGGCAGCATTGGCTATGATACTATATGTTTTTAAACGTTGCATTTAGACCCATGTCACTGTACACAACTATCTGAATGTGTACATAATGTTTGTGTCATATTTGACTGTTCTGTTGTCTGTAGGCAGCACCAATGTAGGGGAGCAGCTCCCTACTGGGCAGTTGTCTGTAGTGCCATGGCGACGCACTGGAGTCAAGTACACCAACAACGAGGCCTACTTTGATGTAGTGGAGGAGATTGATGCCATCATTGATAAATCAGGTATAGTTGGCCCACTGCCCCATCATGCTGTCAGGTAAAACTGTCCTGACCCATTAAAAGCAACAGAAACACAGAACTTGACATTCTGATTGACTCTTTCTCTCTATATTTATATATTTACACTACTGGTCAAAGGTTTTAGAACACCTACTCATTCATTTTCTACATTGTAGAATAATAGTGAAGACATAAAAACTATGAAATAACACATATGGAATCATGTAGTAACCAAAAAAATGTTAAACAAATCAAAATATATTTTATATTTGAGATTCTTCAAATAGCCACCCTTTGCCTTGATGACAGCTTTGCACACTCTTGGCATTCTATAAAGCACCTTCACCTGGAATGCTTTTCCCACATATGCTAAGCACTTGTTGGCTGCTTTTCCTTCACTCTGCCTTCCGACTCATCCCAAACCATCTCACTTTGGTTGAGGTCGGGGGGTTGTGGTGGCGAGGTCATGTGATGCAGCACTCCATCACTCTTCTTCTTGGTAAAATAGCCCTTACACAGCCTTGGAGGTGTGTTGGGTCATTGTCCTGTTGAAAAACAAATGATAGTCCCACTAAGCCCAAACCAGATGGGATGGCGTATCGCTGCAGAATGCTGTGGTAGCCATGCTGGTTAAGTATGCCTTGAATTCTAAATAAATCAGACTGTCACCAGCAAAGCACCCCCATACCATAACACATTTACATTTACATTTTAGTCATTTAGCAGACGCTCTTATCCAGAGCGACTTACAGTTAGTGAGTGCATACATTATTTATTTTTTTTTCATACTGGCCCCTCGTGGGAATCGAACCCACAACCCTGGCGTTGCAAACGACATGCTCTACCAACTGAGCTACATCCCTGCCGGCCATTCCCTCCCCTACCCTGGACGACGCTGGGCCAATTGTGCACCGCCCCATGGGTCTCCCGGTCGCAGCCGGCTACGACAGAGCCACCTCCTCCTCCATGCTTTATGGTGGGAAATACACATGCGGAGATCATCCGTTCACCCACACCGCGTCTCACAAAGACACAACAGTTGGAACCAAAAATCTGAAATTTGGACTCCAGACCAAAGGACACATTTTCACGGGTCTAATGTAAATTGCTCGTGTTTTTTGGCCCAAGCAAGTCTCTTCTTCTTATTGGTGTCCTTTAGTAGTGGTTTCTTTGCAGCAATTCGACAATGAAGGCCTGATTCACACAGTCTCCTCTGAACAGTTGATGTTGAGATATGTCTGTTACTTGAACTATGTGAAGCATTTATTTGGGCTGCAATTTCTGAGGCTGGTAACTCTAATGAACTTATCCTCTGCAGCAGAGTTAACTCTGGGTCTTCCATTCCTGTCGCGGTCCTCATGAGAGCCAGTTTTATCATAGCGCTTGATGGTTTTTGTGACTGCACTATACTATACCCCCCCTACCTTGTCACAACACAACTGATTGGCTGAAACGCATTAAGAAGGAAAGAAATTCCACAAATTAACTTGAAATTCATTCCAGGTGACTATCTCATGAAGCTGGTTGAGAGATTGCCAAGAGTGTGCAAAGCTGTCATCAAGGCAAAGGGTGGTTATTTGAAGAATCTCAAATATAAAATATATTTTGATTTGTTTAACACTTTTTTGCTTACTACATAATTCCATATGTGTTATTTCATAGTTTTTATGTCTTCACTATTATTCTACAATGTAGAAAATAGTCAAAATAAAGAAAAACCCTTGAATGAGTAGGTGCTCTAAAACTTTTGACCGGTAGTGTATATATTTATATCTCTCTATATGTATATTTATATCTCTCTATATATCTCTAACACACTCTTAGGCTCCACTATCACAGCAGAGATCCAGGGGGTGATTGATGCCTGTGTGAAACTGACAGGCATGCCTGACCTCACTCTCTCTTTCATGGTGAGTCCTCTCTTTCTCTCTCTCTCTAGCCCAGGGGTGGGCGATAATTTAGGCTCGAGGGCCATACCGGGATTTCAAAATTCAGCGGATGGACGATTTTTTTTTCTTTCTTCCAGACCTACTTGTTTTGTCAAAAGCAATTTAATGGCCAGAAAAAGGGCAGTTATTTGAAAATATATGTCCATTATAATTTCAACATACTTTCTATCTCATTTTAGATGTTCAAGAGTAGCCTGGAGTGTTTTTTTAACACATTGAATGGGCTCGCGGGCCAGATTCGTAGTTTGCCCACCTGTGCTCTAGCCAATAGTTTATCTACTCTTGTCCTGTGCAAATAACCGTTCCCTCTCTGCCTCTCCATATGAAATAATTAATATTTTTAATATTTTTGAACTGTGTTGTATAACTGTAGACTTCCTGTCCATTTCTCTCACTCTTTCTTTCTCTCTCTCTCCCTCTTTCTCTTCTGTCTTGATACCAGATTTTTAACTGTTGTACTGAATAACTGTGTCAACATTGTCCTGTCTGTTTCTGTCTCTTCCCCTCTCTTTCTCTCTGTCTTGATACACCTGTCTGATCCTGTCACAGAACCCTCGTCTGCTGGATGATGTGAGCTTCCACCCGTGTGTGAGGTTCAAGCGCTGGGAAGCTGAGAGGATCCTCTCCTTCATCCCTCCAGACGGAAACTTCCGGCTGCTCTCCTACCACGTCAGCTGCCAGAAGTCAGTACTGCGCTCTCTTTACCTCTGCAAAGAGAGGCTAAACATCATGTTATGTGCTCAAGGCATAACTCAAACACACACACACACACAGTATCTGAATGTTTGCTTTTTCTTGTCATTGTCTTAATTCAGTCTCCACCCATTAAAGGTCAACAAGGTATTTCAAAGTAAATTTACATTGTAGTTTAGGCTCGAACTAAAACTAGAGTTGTTGTAAAACGTTAGCTAGATGAAGACCTGTGTTTGGTTTAACGTTACATTCATAATTAAATGGATGTTTTTATTCACAAAACATCCATTTGGCAAAGCATTAGATGTAAGTACAATAGTATAGTGTCAGTACTGTACATTTATTGGTATAGATTGGATCATTATTCCCTTGTGGTTTGGCTTGGGAAAACCCAGAAACAATATTTTGCAGCAATGCCACTATGGTAATGGTCCTGACGTTTACATTATCAAAATTTTTTGTTTGAAGTTTCACGTTTGAAAGTTGTAATAACAATGTAACAAACTGACATCTGTGCAGAAAATGATTCACTTTCAGGATTATTCACTTACTTACTTGCACACTTTGTGTTCAGTGTGCTCTGTGCTGTTTCTGTCTCTGTGTCCGTCCTACCTGTGTTATTCTGACACTCTGTGTCTGCCCCTCAGTCTGGTGGCCATCCCAGTGTACGTCAAGCACAACATCACGTTTAGGGAGGGTAGTTCTCAGGGCCGCTTTGAGCTGACCCTGGGCCCCAAGCAGACCATGGGGAAGGGGTTAGAGGCTGTTCTGATCAGCAGCCAGCTACCCAGAGGAGTCCTCAACACCAACCTCAACCCCTCCCAGGGGACATACACCTTCGACCCTGTCACTAAGGTAAGGTGGTTGGAAAGGGAGTGTGAGTGTGAGAGACGGAGTGACAGTCTGTCCATCTGTGCGTGCGACTGTGTGTGTGTGTATGTGCGACTGTGTGTATGTGCGACTGTGTGTGCGTGCGACTGTGTGTGTGTGTGTGTATGCAGACAGGGACTTATCCGACCAGTTTGGTGAATGCTGTAAACATACAAAAGGGTATATAATCTTACGTTTCAAGGGATGGTTAATTCCGCCTCCCACCCACCTGTTTGCGTTCAAAACAATACCCATCTTCCTGTGTGTGGTAATAACAGTGGGAGGCTACTGTGTTGTCCCTATGCAGCTCTTGTCATGGGACGTGGGTAAAATCAACCCTCAGAAGCTGCCTAGTCTAAAGGGCTCTATGAGCCTGCAGGCAGGGGCCTCCAAGCCAGACGAGAACCCCACCATCAACATCCAGTTCAAGATCCAACAGTCGGCCCTCTCAGGTAAGACAAACACACACACACACACACACCTTATCAGAATTGGTTATTACACTCTAGAGTAGCAGTTGCTCCTTAGCCGTTGAACTAGTATCAATTTAGGGAATAAATAAATATCTAACCCTAGATCATATATTAATATTCTATCTACTAACTCCGTATTACACAGCATGGTCAGCAGACACTACATTACATCCACACAGCTTATTCACAGTGACACCTTTTACCACTAGATGGAGACAAGATACTCCATTTCTATTTGTTCTATCTGATCCCCCACAGAGGTTTGCATCTGTTTCCAAAAGGGATGTAGGCTACTTCCCTTGAATTGTCCAAATCCAATGGTTTATATGACTTTCTGTAGAATACATTTTAAATAGCAATGTGACACCTTTTCTCCTTTAATTTCCTTGTTCTTCTCCAGGACTGAAGGTGAATCGGTTGGATATGTACGGGGAGAAATACAAACCGTTCAAAGGCATCAAGTACATGACCAAGGCCGGCAAATTCCAGGTGCGGACATAGAGGCTCGGCTCGCCGCTCTCTGGCCTCTGCACCAATACTACTACAGATGGTGGGGAATAAATACAGAAAATATAAGGAAGGGAGTGGCTATGGTACATTCCCAGTGTAAATGCATTTCAGGATTTATCCACACAAACTGTGGGCTCTGCTGTCTAACTGAACTAGCTACCACAGAATGTGACACGACACACAAAAGCCTATTTAATGAAGTTGTTTGCACAGTCAAATGGGTGGAGATAAGAGGCTATCCGTCTAAACGTGTCTACAGCTTTTGTAGTAAGCTAAAGCCTGGAATTGGTCTTTCTGTTGTGCTATTTCTGGTTCCTTTTCCAATCTCGTTGCTATCCTTTGAATTCCTTTTGTGAGCGAGAATGGCAGGCAAAACGGTTTGTGTGTGCTTCCCTCAAATGTGGGCTACTACTGTCTACTGCTAGTACGTCTCCTCATGCTCCCATCCATTCCTTATAACCAATGGCCCAGAGTTTCGGTCATCACGAGTTAACACAGCTACAATGTCATAATTATGGCTAAACCCCGCCCATTTCTACAATTTATCTTCTTAAAATCTGATTTTAAATCTAAACCTAACCACACTGCTAACCTTATGCTTAACCTTAAATTAAGACCAAAAAGCTTATTTTTTTCAGCCAATTTTGACATTGTGGCTGACTTTGTGGCTCTACCAACTGAGCTACCTCCCTGCCGGCCATTCCCTCCCCTACCCTAGACGACACTGGGCCAATTGTGTGCCGCCCCATTGGTCTCCCGGTTGCGGCCGGCTACGACAGAGCCTGGATTCGAACCATGTCTCCCGAGTGGCGCAGTGGTCTAAGGCACTGCATCGCAGTGCTAGCTGTGCCACTAGAGATCCTGGTTCGAATCCAGGCTCACAATTGGCCCAGTGTCGTCTAGGGTAGGGGAGGGAATGGCCGGCAGGGAGGTAGCTCAGTTGGTAGAGCATGGCGTTTGCAACGCCAGGGTTGTGGGTTCAATTCCCATGGGGGGCCAGTATAAAAAAATATATATGTATGCACTAACTGTAAGTCGCTCTGGATAAGAGCGTCTTCTAAATGACGTAAATGTAAATGTAGATTCTGACTTTGTGGTTGTGTTATCTAGTGGAAACCCAGAGTTTCTTCTGCTCAGGTCATATGGTCAGGACTTGAAAAGTTCCTGGCTCTACCTATATTACATGTTATTCTAAATTCTCTGTTCCCTTTACTTATTCCAATGCTCCCTGTTTTCTGAATTTCTCTCTTCGGTCCTTTAACCAAATGTATTTCTGTGTCTCTGTCTGTTATCAACTCTGGAGTCAACACACTGGAGTTTGAGAATGCGACATGAAATCCCTCCGCCTGAATCATTCACTACCATGCCTATTTCTGTCAACAGTTAATACTGTAGGCATAACCATGTCATTCCCAAATCCAATGTAGCGGTTGTAGGATGAGTTTGACACAGTACGTTAGTTTTTCTCTCTTTTTCTATATCATATAAGGCGTCAGGTCGAGCACCTTGCTGTGGCCTACCTGATGTTTTATCCACCTTAATCCCTCCTGATGACCTTTTTAATTATTATTTATTGACCAATGATTGATCAATGATGTAATCCTGATACGAGCACCAAATCGTATACTGTATAACCCAGCTCATATCATGCAGCTCAAATGTATCTTTATTACTCTATAGTGAATTCTACATAGGCTTGAGCACCATGAAGACCAATAACATGAAACATGCTGCCCCCCTATACCGACTGACTCCATACTGCAGTTTGATGGTACTGTTGTTTGGGTTTCCCTATCAAGAATGTTCAAGGTTTGGGTTTACAGCTTTTGTTTTGTTTGTGTGTTTGTCAAATGAATTCAAATTTAGTTTTACAATGGTATGACATTAAAGAATTAAGTGATATGTTGAATTATCCGGTCCATTGTCTTCCCCTCTGATAGATACTAGGAAACCACTAATCAATGTGGCTGTACCAACAAAAATAACCTAATTTGTCTACATATCTGTAACAACACATTTGTCTAAAAATCATCTTGAGTATTATAAGAGCCCATTTATGATGATGTATGGGAGGTTTGATTAAAGGTTAATGCCAGCCGTTTTAGTTTCACTTGATTTCAATACAATTATCTTGAAGTACAGTATCATCAAAAATTGGAAACAAATGTTATGGGGTCTCGCAGCAAACAATGACCTGTCGTTTCCGCCAGCGTTTTTTAGATGCGGTCGGAACTCCGGTGGCAGACCATCGGCTGGCGGATAGTCGGCAATCGCACATCGGTCCACTAGCGTTTCTTGAGCGGCAAGCCACAATGCTAGATGGAAGTCTGACCTTCAGTGGAGGAACGTCGCCATGTCGATATGCGGACCCCGTGCGTGCGACCTGCTGTAACACCTTCTCATAGATTAAGTACTGCTACTATTGCTGAAAACAATATATATATTTAATACAAACCACACGGATTTGACAAGAATTGAACTTTACCATTCAGCTTTGCCTGGAAAGTGCCCATTATGAAGTTCCACATTTTGTAATCGCATAATGCAATTTCAATGTAATAGCAAGTTCCACTACTTTGTGTGTTCTTACAAGTAGATAGCTTGCATACTTTCACTTTTAAGTAACCTATTCACTAATCTTGGGCATTGTGAAGGAGTTTTAGTGAATATAGAACAAAAGTGACAGGAAATGCATCTTTATTTTACAACAATACACAAATTAAGCTATTCTATTAGGTATAGCTTAACAATACTACCTTTAGCACAAAACTGCAATGTAATGTATTTACATAGATGTTAGACTTACAAACAGTGCAGGCTCTAGACTTAAGAGGCCCCTAGGCAATATGTTCTGTAAAGTCTTCCTTAGTTTTCAGTTTCCATTAGGAAACGTTATAAACAAGTAAAAAAAAAAAAGATACATTTCTCAATTGTTGGTGGAATAACTTGATCAGAGAAGATGAGTCAGTAAAATGTTCTAACTGAAGATTCATGCCAACCGGGGAATGCATTTAAACTGAATATGGGCACAAACCACCCTATGTGTCTATAGGGATATCATTGTGTGTGTTGCTTAAGGTATTGAAGATGGACAGGAGGGTTTCATGTCTAATGTTGAGGGGCTCATGTGCTAGTGGCGCTTGAGGGTGAGTGATGTCATCAACATCTTTCAGGAACCAGACAGAAGTCCTGTTGAAGAAATGCCACAATTAAAGATCCATAGACTTTCATCACAATTATTGTTTTACATATGAATTTTCCCCTTTGTGGTACCACACAACAGGTAAGGGGCGCCTTTTAATGGTGATTCGCAAACCACACAGAAGGTAAAGGACGCCTTTTAATGGTGATTCATAACCTTTTGAAAATTAGGGTGCAGGTCTGCAATTGAAGACTAATCTCGAAATATGTATCGGAACGACTATAAGGCTTTACATGAATTTCACATTAAGTCGTACAGTGTTTACACTTCTATATTCGTGGAATCAAGCGGTAAAGGTACTCATACCAACTGTATACAACACCATAATTCTCAAAAGGTTATGAATCACCATTAAAAAACCCTCTTACCTTCTGTGTTGTTTGCGAATCACCATTAAAAAGGCGCGCCTTACCTGCTGCGTGGTACCACATAAACGTTGTCCTGTGGAATCCTCTGGAGAACAGCTCATCATCTGGATCACCTTGCTCGCGCATCTGTCTCTATAAAAACCCAATCTGTGTCTCTGTGGTCCCAGTAGAACGCCGAGGTCAGTTGATGTTACCTCAAAATTCATGCAAGTTATGAGAAATTAAAGTACGTTTGTTAAGTTATGGTAATTGTTTGATATGTGTTGGTGAACACATAATTAGGAGAGGGAGTACAAAACCAACGACGCTAGACAGAGAGGAATTTGCTTAAGCAAAAGGCAGTTTATTAAACACAGAGATAGCTGGTACTGCTCAAGCTACATGCATGGGATCCTGCTAATTAACATGCATGGACCCAATCAATTGCCTCTTATGGAGACAGTTGAGAAGGATGGATAAACAGAGTTTACGGCACTATTTTATACAATGTAACATAAAGGAAGGGGTCCTTCTTCTAGTCCCTTGATTGGTTCCCGAGGCGTAGGAGGCGGGTCTGCTCTGTCCAGAGTAGAAGCCCCATTGGTGCACGGCAGAGTCCTCTGCCCTTGGCACCCGACCAGTAGAAGGAAGTGGAGTTTGAGTGTGCGTCCACAGTGAAATGTCTGTGTGTGTCAAAGAACTCGTGAGGCCTGAGAATGAGTGTGCGTGCAAATGAAATATTGGTGTGTGTCAAGGGAACTAGTGAGAAGCAACAAGTGATTGTGGCCTGTGGCGTGGGTGTTGTCCTTGGCCACCTGGTGACAAGATATGGTCCTCTGTCCATTGTTCTTGCATAGGAACAGCATTTATTGAAAACAAGCTCCTGACCCTAATAGGTCTTGCACAACATCTTACACAACATATATTCAGATCAATCTATAACAGTTTATATTTACTACGACATATGTTATATCATGACAAACAGTATGGCTAAGGTTAATGTTAACAAGGACACTAGGAACTGTCATGTGTCAATAAGTCAATAAGCCTTCAGGGTTAACGTTAGGGACTTCAAGTTAGATGACCGACGCTAACGTTAGACTAGCGCTAAGTTGGCAGACAACTTTAGGTTTGGCCAACTAACGTTACATGGACAATAAAAGTGCCCTACAGTTGTCCGGTAACAAGAACAATAAAGGGAGCCAGAAAGTTAACATTGTCAAGCTACAAACAGTAACCAGCTAAAAGTTTTAAAATAGTAAAGCGATGTGCTTAGTTATCTAGCTTCAATAGCTAGTCAACCGTCCTTCGGGGTCGCGAGATGTTCTTCAGAACAAACTACTAGCAAGCTGCAGGGTGAGTGGCCGTTGGAACTGCTTTGTTGTAACGTTAGCTCTGCTAAATTGTAAAGAGCAACCTTAAAGCTAGGTTACTTAAAATGATTGCTACAATTAACTAGCTAGCTATGTTCGCTCATCAAATGTACCTTATTTTATCTAACTTACCTCAAAGCTAGCTGTAGCTCATCACGTTTATACAATTGTAGCATAGCTCTTCCGTGTCGCTTTAACGTAGCGCTCAGACACGCATATTTAAATACCGAGTAAAAGGTAATGTGGTCAACAAAAATGAGCACCAATCATAATCGCCATTTCACCGGTTTACGCACCAATAGAATTAACTGTAAATATTTTTAACACTGTTCTGCGATCAGCCAGCTCATGTCAAATATATATATTTTTTAGCTCCACAAAACTGTGGGAACATCATATTCTGAGAAAATGCACTAAACAAGTGACATCAGGTCTAACCTACATACAGTATTTGACTAATTGATGTGCTACAATTATGTCCACGAAATCAGCTGATGCATTTTAATTTGTTTACAATTGTCAAGTGTATACAACAATAAAGTGAATATACTGACTAAAGCAATTTTTTGGGGAAATACTCAGCCCTCATGTGACTTCAATGATATATTTAGTCATTAATTAGGACTACATCAGTCTAGTATTGGTGCTATACATTCAGTGTAGTATTATCTGCATGCACAGAGTAAAAATTGTCCACCATCCTTAGACACACACACAGAGAAACATACCATGGAGATTGGTGTAAACTACATTAATTGACATGTAATTTTCCTGTTGTTGCCCTTCTTAGATAACCAGTGACCAATCTTGCATTGTTTTGTTATTGACTTAAAGTGATGTTAAACATTCCAGCGTTGATTGTATCATTTGATTTTCTTTGCAGATATCCAGTCTATATACCGAAAGTTTCCAGGTAAAATGTCCAGTTACTGGAGTAAACGTAGAAAAATTCAGAGGGGAGTTGCACAAGATTTGCAAAAACTAAAGTCAGGATCTGTGGAAATGGGAAGAGAGGCATGATTGTAATGGCATAAGCAATTTAGTGCAAGTGGCTCTTCCAACGCAGGAGTCACATAGTACGGCTGAGCCAGCTGATGTTGGCACACTAAGTGGTAGTGAGGGTGGGATTAACGAGAGCTTCACTGAGAGCACAGAGGAGAGCATTGATGAAAGTACAGATGAGGAGGATGATATCAGAAAGTTACTTTCGGATTGGGCTCTTAGGAAACAAATTCCACATTCATCATTAACTGAACTACTCAAGATTCTATCCACGAAAATACCCAAATTAGGCCTACCAAAAGATTTCCAGTGGTGGAAACTAAAGAAGTCTCTGGGGGAACTTATTTCCACGCTGGCATTAAACATGGTGTGCTGTCCCACCTTACAACATCTGTTCATACAAGGTTGTCTGAGTCAGTGTCCCTCCAAATCAATATTGATGGCCTTCCTCTATACAAGAGCTCAAACGCTCAATTCTGGCCTATCTTAGGGCTGATTTCTTGCATGACTTTGTTGAGGAAATGCAGCAGCTGGAAACTGAAGGTGTTTTTTTTTGGAGACAGAAATCTTAAAGTCCAAATCTCTACCATTATTTGTGACGCACCAGCAAGGGCCTTTGTCAGAAATGCAATGGTCACAATGGCTACTATGGCTGTGACAAATGCCATCAAAAGGGAGTCTACTACCTGAATCGTATGACTTTCCCAGAAACAATAGCCCCTCTGAGGTCCAACCACGACACTTTTGATGATTTGACTGATGACTCGCATTACAGTGGGACAACACCTTTAGGATCATTGTCAATTGGTTTGGTGACA